CGGCTGCGGCCGTCGACTGCCGGCTTCCTCTCTCTCTCTCTCACTTTTTCTTACTCACTTCTGGTACTGCGAGTCTATAATGGCGAGAGTAGCCATCAACGCTGGGCGCGAGTTGGATACTGGAGCAAGTGAACAGTGGCGACAGGGAAAAAGACAACGACAACGGCAGCAGCAGTTGGTAATTGCTAATTTGAGAGTTGACAGTATTGGTGCAGGGTAGAGTAGTGCTCCCTCCATCAGCGGCCACTACCACTACCACTACCACTACCAGCACTTCTGCTCGACAGTTACCTGTGCCATCTCTTCTCTGCACTCTTCCACTGCTCTCTCCGGTTGACTGGTGGAAGAAACCTAATTAGATTAGACTTTGCTTTCTCATTTAAATGGAGGATTAATTATGAGTGCACTGCGGAGGCAGACGGGCAGGCTTAATCAGCGATCAACTTATTTTTGGGGAGCAAATCGCCACCTCATCACCATCATTATCATCATTATCACGAGGTGGTGCATATCACCGGTGGCCGTAATTGAACAGCTATTTGAGCCACCGATTGACTGCTGCCGCTGGACTTGGCCGACTTTAGAGAGGGGACGTTTCCACAGCTGCTTTATTTGATATGACCACTTCACCACTTGTTCTCTCGCCAGTTGGCTATCAAAGACGCTGATCAGTGCCAACAGCCTTTGCAAAACGGTGACGCAGATAAGCAGGAAAGCACATTGCTCACTCACAGACAAATGCATTTTCCTTCACGTATGCAGCCGCCTTACGACTGTACGACTGGCAATTAGTATCGCAGCCTCGGCGGCATTACATTCAGCCCCTGACTGTGATACATGCCAGTGCACACAATAGAGCTCAATCGTGAACATTACAATTGGAAATGATTTCAACATTGAGATACAAATTATTTATTCGAGATAAATAAAAGTTAGTGGTGGCTGCGCTACGCTGTGATCAGTACTGGTGGCTAGCGCTGCTCGGTTTGGTTCGGCTGCTGCTGCTTACTTCTTAGGCTTTTTCAGAGCTGATTATTATGACAGACTGAATGGTAGTGGCTAACAGATATTAAAGAACGTATGACTATCACTGAAGATGGCATTTGTGTTGTTGGTGATGATGAGGACGATGATAGTGTGTTTGCGTGTGAGCAGTAAACAAAGGGTATAAAATCTTAAGGTGCAACACTTCAACAGCGACGGTGACAAGAGAACAAGGCACAAACTGAATGAGGCAGAATGGGGTCCCAAAAAAACTACACCTAGTTTCAAGAGATAATCTCCGCCGGCTCCTCGTACTCCTGATCATCGATGATCTGCTCACTTTCCACGTCCTTGTTGCGGTACTTGTTGATCGTCGGTCGGAAGAGAATGTCATTGTAGACGCACATGCCAATGATGAGGACGATGAAGCCGCCCAGCTGAATCCAGCTAAAGACTTCCCACTTCAGAATGAGACTGATCACCCAGATGACCAGTGTGCGAACAGAGTCAAGAACACTGTTTTAAGAGAAAAAGTTTTTAAATAAAGCTTAAGTGATCACGCAAACTCTCTTACGTTCGGGTAGTAGCGTTCATCTGCTTGGTCACACNCACTTCAGAATGAGACTGATCACCCAGATGACCAGTGTGCGAACAGAGTCAAGAACACTGTTTTAAGAGAAAAAGTTTTTAAATAAAGCTTAAGTGATCACGCAAACTCTCTTACGTTCGGGTAGTAGCGTTCATCTGCTTGGTCACACTGATGCCGGCAAAGTTGAAAAAGGCAATTGAGAGAATGGTTCCTTTTTGGGGGACACAAATATCCAAGATTAGTATCGACATTACACTACAGCAATCAAGTCAATTACCGCTCAAACCAAGAGCCACCTGCCAGTTGTTGCCAATCTGCACAAAGCCGTCTAAGGCGTCCTCAATCTGTCCATCGGGATTCTGGAAGATGTCCTTCCCAACGTGGATAAAGTACATTGGCACCAGCAGCACCGAGAGGACGGAGAAGCCAAAGATGCCCTCCCAGCCGACGGCCTGCAGCGGCGACACATTCGACCCGCTGACGAACTTCTCCTCGACAATCATCTGAGTGGCGGTGATAATTTGCGCCATGATGATCAGCAGATCGCCTATCAAAGGTAAACTATTATTATTATTTTAAGTTAGGCANATCTGAGTGGCGGTGATAATTTGCGCCATGATGATCAGCAGATCGCCTATCAAAGGTAAACTATTATTATTATTTTAAGTTCTGCAATGTGAATGCGCCAAACAAACCAGTGATAATCTTGTTCAACGCATGATCATGCGAGTCTTTGCCAGAGATGATGTTGCTGAGGCCGACAATGACCAGACCGCAAATGACGAGGAGAATTCCCAGCCATTCGTAGATCTTCAGTCGCCGTCCGAGGAAGGCGACAGAGAGAAGGCCGGTGAAGACGATGAGAGCACCTCGGAGCATCTGAAAGCTAGACGGGCTAGTGAGAATGAGACCAATGTACATCAACGAGGTGGCCGTCATGTCGCAGAGAGCCGGAGGAAGGAAGATGAACGGACTGAAGGAGGTGCTGCCCCGAACTACAAAAAGAAAGAGAGGATATTGGTGAATGGCCTTTTTCAGCAAAGCACCCGCATCATTCCTACCTGAGTCGGGCATCATTTCATTGGTGTAGTCCTTCTTCTTGTAGTACAGGTACATGCCCTTGTACGCGAGAAAGCAGAGAAACTCGCCAAAGAACATCGCCACCGCTTGAAGAAACGGATGGTTGAACGGTCTTACTTTGTCTAAAAAGGGAGATTGTATAAACGAAATTAATGTTTTGTAAACAATACAATCATGTCATTGCACTTACCATTTATGCCTTTGGATTTGGCGTCATCTGCCCACTTTGTTGCCAGCGTATTGATGGAGCCGG